CCCTCTTATACTTCGCGAAACGCGTACAATGTACATGCGTGCTCATTTACGGGTCCCGAAATCGCAGTTGCAGTGTTCCCAACACAAGTACCGGATTATATTCGGGGCACGAATAGCCTCCCCTTTTCCATCCACGTTTGGAATACACACGCTTGCCAGCACTTTTCTCTTTCTGTCAGCTACAAATACACGCGCGTCCATTTCACACGAGTGCCAAGCGGTCCGCATCCTGTCCAACAAGAGAGTGAGAGGGGGGAGGGGGCAATTCGGCCAAACGTACAACATGTTTATGTATCGTCAGCAACATTAACGGGGCTATTTATGCAGGGCCGCGTCCCAAAACGCGAATGGGGTAGGTGCATGTATATGCAGTGTATAGTAGTAGTAGCTCGACTGCTCTGATAATTACCGAAAGTGGCGTTTTTCGAAGGCTCACCCACTCTGATTGATCGCGTCGTTACTCTGCTTTTGCAGGTCTCTAAAAACAGCTATTTGGCGCAAATGTAAAATAACGATGTTTAAAATGAAAGAAAAAAAAAGAAGAAGACCAATAACCGAGAGTTCATTCGAGGGATCATCAAAAGAGAGCTCGTTAAGCAATGGATACACTTGACGGTGACGATCACGTCGGGCGCCAAGGCGCATCATGTCCTCGTGTAAGATCCATTAGGTACACAAGGCGTGCATCTCTCGTTCATCGAGAGATTTCCCCTCTTCAACGCTGATTGTGACAAATGGATGGCGCGGAAAAAACTGACCGGCCTGGAGTTTGAATGTCGAGAGAATATCCCACCCATCAATCTAATCTCGAACAACAACCACATTCCGGGACTATATATACAGCACGTGTTTTACGAACAATTAGGCGTTAAATCAAAACGTGGTCGGAGCTGAGCTTTTTTTCCTGGTGATACTTAATAGTACGACTTTTCCTCTGGGACTTTTTAAGCCGCTCTGGCTCTGAAATCTTATCAGCCATGCACGAATAAATACACTTGTACTTTCTATCGGAGGTTTCTCCGTTACGCAGCCGTACGCAAGTGTACACATCAGGCTCATAATTGCTGTGATTAAACTCTTTGCTTGCGTATCTCGTGTAAAGAGCAGTGAAGTATTTTTTCAAAGGGTTGGTGGACACTTTGCACCTCGGTATCGACACTGTACAGAGATCGGTGGTCACTTAAATCACTCAACGCACGTTCATCAATCCCATCGTGCCCCATCGCAAGGTATTTGCATGCTATTCCGCTTTAGCAAGGGGGGTAAAAAAGTTACGTGCTCGATCGCGGGGGATCGAAACTTTTCCAGCCTAAGCTAGCGCTCTTAACTTGCGTCCCTCACCCCGTGGTGAGATATATACGATCAGAAGGTTCCCGAGGATTTAACGCCGATCTCAAATGGTCGATGTGACTTTTCTTTGAAATAGCGACAACATTAAAATAAATCCAGAAGCCACCCTGCGTAGCACCAAAAACGGCCCTGGAGCGAAGCTCATCAATCCAGTCTTGTCAAAGAGCAAAAGTCATTAACACGGATCCGTCTTATCATTATTATTATCGGCCACTGAGATATAAAAAAAAAAAAAAAGTGCCATCACTCCCCTCAAGTACTAAAAACGCAAAATAAAAGCAGCTACTGACTGTAGCCTATATTCAAAACGTGCACTTGCAAGTTAGAGAGTGGCGGCGCATGGAAAATATATACGGGGCCGATTATCTCGTTGGGCAACGCTGCCGAGCTATATATACGTGTGGCAGCCGAGAGCGAGACGAGATTCTGTAGTGTTCCGCAATAGCACGCTGCAGGCAACGAGAGAACAGCTCCGTGCTTAAAACGCGGATTTCGAAACGCGACCGCAGAGGCTCCCGTTCGTGGACAGGTATACGTGTGCTCTCGTTAGAGACGCCGATCGGGAGAAAACGGGGAACCCTCTCCCTTTCTGCATTGGAAGTATACACTCGGATGATTTAGAGGCCGCGCCACGTTTCGCTGCTCTGTATAGTGCATGAGAAGAGATGTTTGAATATCGATACACTTACTTTGCGCTCCTAATGGCCATGAGAATTGAAACCCTTTTTTTTTCTGTATTTTTATCTAGTTATAAATAGAAAGGGGAGTGAAACGTCGACCTTTCCATAATCCGATCGAGGAGGACACGGAGTTCGATTATTTTGCGGAAGCTTATTGAAAAACGCTGCACAGGACGATGTTCTATTTGGGTCAACTAGTCTCGAGTGCATCAGGCACGGCACTACCATTTTTCATGAACAAAGCCCGGCTCCGAGGGTGTCTGTATTTCAAACGCAAAACGTCACCGAGCGCCGCAGCAAAATTAATTCATCGAGAAAAAAAAAAACTGTCTCCAAAGTAACAATCCAGGCACGCAAACGCTGTATGAGAATAAATAAAACTCCTTTGTGGCGTTAGTCCTCGGGAAGTTGGCGGCCGACCCATTTGATGTGCGCGCCCGCGATGAGCTACACGCGGCTCTTTTGTTTCTTAAGCTCTCAATTTTAACGTGCGAAACTCGCTACCCTAAATGTTCAATTAACCGCGATGACTCACTGCTTAGGCTGTTTTTAACATTCAAGGCAACAGCATTCATTAGACGCTCCCACGACTGATTGTAAAACAAACGCGAAACAATCAAAGGAGCCACGTCACGGTGATCCCTCGCCAAAACCGCGGTGCGCGTAGCATTTTGTAATACCCCTGGAGTCGTTTCTCTTACAGATACGTTCGACGGAAGAGAGAGAAAAAAGGAAAAAAAGGCGTAACGCACGACGTCGTAAAATATGCTGGGAAACGAGGAGGAACGCCGCTCCGGGAGATTTATAGATCACCGGCGAGGCCCCCCTTGTACACAATGCGTTCGCACACCAGAGGCGCTTGTGAATGTTTTTTTTTCTCAAATTCCGAGATAATAAACGATAATTGATGGGTTTACGATCCAAAGAGCTGGCGCAAACATTGGGACACCCTCGAGAGTGCAAGTGGCGAAAAATAAGCAAAAATACCACGCTCCATTTCGTCCAGATAGATACCCTTGAAAAACCACGTCATTATCCCCGATTATCCGCCCCTCCTCTCATCTCCTCCTTCCAAAGTCTTTCCATCCTATATACGTACGATAGACACTGTAGACACACAAGCCGCCAAGCTGCCACGGGAAACAAGGGCGCGCACTGCTTTTTCGGTCCTGCGCCTGTTTACCTGAGCTCCCTCGGGGGATCAATGGGCCGGAAGGATGCTAACGCGCAGTTTTAACGCCGCGTCTCGAGGAGCAAGGGCGCGCGAAACGACTCGCCCGACCGAGGGTCTACGAGGAAAGAGGGGGGGCTGTTTTTCACGGCGAAAGAAGCTCCGATTATCCTACTGGCGCTCGGTGTACGTGCAAGAGGAGCAAAAGTTTATGGGTGTTTGGCCTGGCGTGACTCGCGGCAATTAAACCGAGGGAAGTCGCCACCCTCGCCGGCGCGAGCGGGAAAATTTACATCGGGGGAGCTTTCGCGCTATCGATAACAGCACGGAGCTGCTTTTTTTTCCTCCCCCCCCCCTCTCTTTCTCGGTACAGCGCATTATATGGGCCCTCGAGGATCGCATGACTCGAGCTATCGTGCATATCGTGTGTATCGGCAGGTTATTCCGGCATCTTGGTGGTTTTCATTTTTTTTTCCTCTCGACTGGCTGTTGTTGGGGCGCGATTAGAATAATAGGGCGATGAGGTCCTTGGAGCTGCCTCCATGGGAGACTCTCCCGAGGGGCAGAGTCGCATCCCGCAAATTACAGGGACCTCCCTCCTCTGTGTATAATAACCGATACGTCCGATTCTAAACACCTGCTAAGCGACGGCGTAATGAGCCTCATTTGGCGGCAACCGTTAGACACTATATCATAACACTCGTAGCAACCAACGAAAATAAAATCACGCCCCCAGTGGGGCTAAAACGCACGTGTATAGCCGCAAGCTCGCGTGCCTACGCAGCATCCGGCAATAAGTGGTTGGTACAGGACTGACGCCCACGTATCCCCTCCTCGAGTGTATATAGTGCGCCAAGAGACCGTTTGAGCTCCAAATCACCCGTGACGCCGTTGTATGCAGTCGCTCGGGGCGTCTATCCATACCGCTGCTGGTTCGCTTCCAAGAAGGTCAGTTGCGTGAGAGCTGCGGAGATACGATGTTTGCGTGCCGATCCACTTTTTTTTCCATACCAAAAGCGTCTGATGTGGTTCGGGGATCGAAGACAATGTGGGTCTCTGTAGATGGACGTACACACGTACGCGAGCGCGAGCTTTCACGCGCCATTGGCATAATACACTAAGGGTAGATTTGAATCTTAATGTACAATATGTCCAATCCAACAAGCTTCTAGCGTCTTATGATAAACTTTAGTTGTGTCTCTACTGCAACAACTCGTGTGCAGGAAACTTTGTTAACTTAATATTGTATTTACTGGCTTGTTGGAGTTATTGAATTGTGGGAAGCTTGAAAGAGGCATCCTTGATACGCTTGGACGTATAATTTTCGGCTACACAATAGGCCCGACATTGGAGAGGGGGGAAAAAATTCGTTCGTACGGAATAGACGAGAAACAACACCCTGTGGCCCTCGTTTGTATCCTCGAAAAAAACACACAGGGGCCGCTTGGACGCGCACGAAAGCATGAGTCACACAGCCCACGCGTCTACTTGTACACACGGCGTATACGTGTACCAATTTCGCTTTGCCCTAGCCCTCTTATTATATTTCGCGGTGATGCTACGGCTGTAATTGGGTGTCGGTTATGACAGGTAAACGAGCCATCGTTGCGAGCTGCTCGACTACCCATTACTTACTACTTGTTTTCATGTATATAGAAGACGTGTGCGCGTGGGTACAAAAATAAAGGAACAACGAGATCCTGGGGGTATATAATCAGAATGGAGGTAAAAAAAACAAAGCACACAAGTATCGCTAGTCGGGCGTCCTTCGCGCCTGTCGTGCTTTGGATGGTACTTACACATGTCTATGACGCTGGCAGCGACGCGGTGCAACAGAAGTGAGCACAGGAGCGAGAGAAGAACGAGGCAATTCCTCGCGCTCGGGATTGCAGTGGCAGACGGTAGCGCGCGATCCATGGTGATGCTCGTCTTCTTCGTACGGTAGCCGGCAATCATCGGACTCTCATAACCGCCCCTGAAAAACACAAAGAAAAAGAGAGATAGGAATGAGTTTTTTTTTCCTCGTTGTGTGGTACTATTTTTAGGTGTGAGGGTGGATACGAGTTTTTGCGGTGCACTCGTGGAATTGAATTAGATTAATGGATGTGGAGCTCAGAATGTATATCGCGCTCTTTGTGGTTTGGAATTGGTTTTTTTTATATACATACACATACATTTCTATTACGAAGAGGAATGAAAATGGATCACCAACGGATGATGATGATGGCGAGGAGCTTTTTTTTTTTTTTTTTTTTACTGTGCTGTTAAATGATGGATCTAGAGGGAAAAGATTTTTGCCGTGCCACGGGGTAAAACTAATTTGTAATTGGACGAGTTTCCGTACTCTCTTTGCCCTAGTTCGAAAAAAATTCTCGATCATGGATGTTTTTTGTTCCAAACTACCTATACGAGGATGGACCGCCCGTTCCGTCCAAAAGCCTTAAAGATTTTATCTTGAAAAATACGACGGACCACTTTCGTCGAGTAAAACAACTGACCCCGTTAAAGCAAACTTTGCCCCTTTTTCAAAAAGAGACGAAAAAAAATACGTCATTCCCTTCGATTTATGTACACCCATATTTTTCCAGCATCGCAAACCTCGACCAGTTTATCCAGTACTGTGGCCATTCCACACCCACCCAAATGTTGTACTCGGAAAAACTTTCAAACAACTATACCCCCTACGCCCCTTTACCGTCTTTCGATAACAACAATTTTCCAACTCCGTGCACGTGAACAGAAGCCACGGTCAAAAAGAAGAAGGACATCTCGCGTGGGAGGAAAACAGAGTGGAATCTAAGATTTTGCGCGTTTCTCCGAGTTTCCATTTTCGCGTTTCCTCCCCGCGAAAAGTAAAGCGTTGCCAGGATACTCACGCGAGGAACTAATGTATGCGTTCCGTGTATTTCTCGCTATTTTTTTCCTTCATTCCTGTGAGCGCGCGAAGGGGAGCCCCCACGGGTAACCCTTCCACCGCGACGGACAAAGGGCCACATTCACGGCCGAGGCAGCCATTACGCGTTATTATCGAGATTAAGATCGGCCGGACGGCAGTAGCTCCCTCGGTGTGTATACAATGCGGGTTGTGCATCGACTTTGTGTGTATATATATACACACGCGCCCTCCCTTTTCTTCTTGTATACTTTTGCCGGCTCTCTGCGCGCACAGGAGATATTTGCACGGAATATGCGACCGCACGGAAAGAGGAATACTCAGCTAATAGCTCGAGAGGGTTGGCTCCTCTCACTCGTCCCGATTGCTTCGAGAAAAAGGATAGATTTTCCTTGTCATACCGTGGAATCAATCAAGGAGCAGGTTGTTTTTTTTTCGTTTTTTTTAAATTAAAAACAGGGTGATATGCAGGGTACGAGAAAAAGGAAAAGGAGATCCTCGAGCTGCTACGGTACACTCTTAACTAATTACCGGGAATCCAGTCCCCTCGCACTTTCAACCGAAAGACATTTGCGACCTGCCGTGCGGAAGGTATATAGCTCGTACACGGTGTTCCAGTGTGCAGCGGTGGGAACTGTCTTGGCTCGAGGGTTAATATATACTCACGGCTCCCACGCCTCTAATTATTCCGTATTTCTCGCTTGAAATAATAGCATTTACATTGCAAAAAGTGCCGAGTCAGTATAGACGATGTATATATTTTCAAGAGACTCATCAGACGTCGAAACAGCCGTTTCGCGTCTGACCAAACTCGACCCTAATCTACTTCCGCGATAAAAGTCGCGCTCACCTGTATTGCCGTGTGTGCGTTCGCGAAAGAGTGTTTGCAGATGCATAATTTCCCAGCCTCGAAGGCGCTTATCGGGAAAAATAGAGAAACGAGACCAAAGTGACGCGTCGCAGCATTTCCGAGCAACCTGTCGTCACTGGCGCAAGTGTAAGGCAATTCCCCAAGTGCATGGCACGAGCTCCGCAGCAACGCCACGCTTATACTTCTCCGAATACCCAGGAGACAGAGAAAGAGAGAGCTAAAGCTGCGACACGTACTGCTGCTACTTTCCCCCAGACACGAAAGAGAGGGACACTCTTACATGCATCCCTCGCGAGAGAGAGAGAGAGAGAGAGAGAGAGGTAAGGGGAAAACGAAGAGGCGAACAGGGCCGTTACTCCGGGGAAGCTTCTCGTTTTACTTTTTATCCCTGCGTATAGTAGCCAACTTTGCTTCTGTTTTTTTTTTTTTTTATTTTTTTTTTCCAGTGCACGGATAGAGATTGCACTCGCTCGTGCAAGAAAGTGCGAGACAGCGGCAGCAGGTGTTCACGATTTACAACGCGACACGCGCCGGTAGCATATAGTGTCTCGTGTACGCGCCGATCGGCGCACGCGAGGGCTTTATCGGGCTCGCGCGTAAGTAATTAATGGGAGCGCTCTGTGTCTTTCACCTGGACACACATACATAATATGTACAGAGAGAGAGAGAGAAAGAGAGTCAGGAAACAGAGTGTGAGAATCGGGGGTCCTTTTATTCGCAGTTTGAGAGAAGCCAAGCGACAACGACTGATGGAGTTTTAATTGGAGTAGCGCGTGTGGTTTTTTCTCTTTTTCCTCGCATCAACTCTCGGGTGAGGATTTTCCTATTTTCGGAAGCATTGGAAATCGGTCCCTGCTTACGCGGTTGGCGTACCGTGGAACAGTCTAGTTTACGGCTCGTTAGCGCGATGACGAAAATTCGCGTCCCAGGCCTTGGAGGAAGATACGCTCGGTGTCGCGAGACGAGGCCCGAGTGCCCTTTGGCTCCTCTTATTTTCGGAGGAAGACGGAAAGTTCGTTTGTTCTTCGAAAAAGAGTTTGTTTTCCATCTTGGAAAATTGGATTGTAGAGGGACCCAGGGATAAACGTAGTTTTGGACTTTTTGAGCAGAGCTGAGGGATGAGCCGATGTGATGTTTTTTTCCAGCACTAGAGGTTCACCGTACGCTCGATTACAACGTCGGAGCTGGCGCAGGTTACTATTTTTTCTTTTTCTCAACTCCCGAGCACTCGGTAACCATAAGAGAAAGTCTGATTTTTCCATGTATTATATACCGAGCCATATAAATGATGCATCAGAGCTCAGTGACTTTTTCCCCTTGAAATTCCCGATTACCACCGATACCTTCGGAGCCGGTGGTGGTAATTTAATTAACTGCCTGTCTGCCGAGCTCTGCGGTTTGCCGACAGTAGCGCGGTTTTTTCTCCTAGTGAAATCGATTCGCTGGATATATCTCGACTTTGCACGCGCATTTTCCTACTCGCGGCACGGACGCTCGATTAAATCCATCGGGGGGCTCCACGGGCCTCGCTCATATTTCTAGCTGAGCGCGATAAGCGTCGGCCTCGCGAGGCAAGAAGATGAAATCGAAGGACGGGAGGCAAATGCTTGGCTAACGAGGCGTAAAAGCGAGACGTGTGTCCCACACTTGTGAAAAAACGACGCAAACTTTGGAAATTTCTTTTTTTTTTTTTTTTCTTTTTTGAGCTGTTACGGCGACAGCGTCGTCGCAGCCAGGCCGATTAACTTTTCGCCACAGGCGGAGGAGCAGGGAGCGGAGGCTCGTTAATAAACGTCCCAGAGGCGAGAACATTAGTAATCGCTGGTGAGAATAAATACCTCGGCAATTATCGAGGACGACACGAGAGAAGTGCAGCACAGGCGGTGTGCGTCGTAAATTCACGTTTGATGCCTCCCCTCGCACTCTCACTCGGGTGGCGATCGTAAAGGTAGATTTTTTTGCGAGCGGGCGAGAACAGCGAGTTTACGATCGCTGTTGTCGCTGGATCTTTTTTTTTTTTTCTCTCCACCACGATGAGGCTTTATCGATTAATTGAGACGCTTCCCTATCTCCCGGTGATGGGTATTTACCCGGCGATTCGCGAGATTGGCGGCGAGTTTGCGTTTAACACTCGAGCTGCTGATGACGATGTATGGGACAGCTTAAGCGCGGGGCAGATGCCCGACTTTCGGGGTATTACGTTCTCAACTTGTTCACCCCCTTTTTTTTTTTTTTTTTTTTAATTCACGTCAAACTGGCGTCTTTCGACAAAACTCACTTTGTTTTTATTGCTATCACTCGTAATTTATCGAGAAGTTGACCAGGCGACCAGATCTAAAGTTAGCCAGCTAGTTTTCAGTCATGTTTTCAAATGCTTTTAATCGCAAAATGGAGACTAAAGAAAGTAAGAAAATCCCGTAAAAATGAATCAATTCCATCGTCGAGCAACTCAAATGCCTAACGCGCAAATCGAAAATCAGCAAAGATAACCGAGAAGCGAGCGAAGAAAAAACGCATGACTCCATGGGGCGAAGGCCTCCAATACCAGTTAGAGGACTGATTTGCTTATACCTACCGATCTTATCCGAACCTCTGCCCCCGGTATACACGACTACAAAAAGGATATAACCAATGCCCCATCCGAGGGACTGCGCACTCCGAAGTCTTTTGGAGACTTCCGAGATCTTTGAAAGATTTAGAATGACTTACGAAGTTTTTTTTTTAAATTTCAAGAGTGCGCAGCCCCTTGGCCCCATCCGAATATTCGCGAGCCTGAGTTTTCTCAACTCGGTAGCGCGTCACAGGCCAATGTCTCCGGTTGTACGTAGTGCTCATCATTTCACACGCGCGTGCATGTCGCTGTATGAAATTCTCACTCCCACGACCGCGGATGCCGGTGAGACTCCGCATTCGTTACAATCAAGACGACCCGTGCGAATTTCTACGTGTAAAAAAGTTCCTCGAGCAGGATGATGCATCTTTGGTCTCCCACGAGAAAAAGGGCAGGCCGTTGGAGTAGCGCAAGCGGCTAATTACCAGGCCCGACTATCATCCCTGCCATCCCCGCTGGAGTTGCGATGCTTATCTCTTGGCTCTCCCCAGAAAGAGAGAGACAGACACGTCGAGCTGGCTGTACGTTGGGCGCTCGGTTTCTTCGGTGTGCAAATTAAAGCCGAGCTAGTTATTTTCGCTTGGGAATCCCTTCTTCGCC